ATTGAAGAGGAAGAAGGAGGACTGTAAATGATTTACATACAGTACTCACATATGAAATTCTCAAAAAATTTAATTAAATTTTAAAAGAATAAAAAAGACATGTAGGGAGGGTTATGATCAAATGGCATTTCATATGTACATGAAAATGTCTCATTGAAACCCTATGTTTTGTGCACCTAGTATAAACTACCAAAATAAATATGTTTTTAAAAGCAGCAATGGCTTGCATTTCAGGCCTCCAGCTGTGGATGGAAAGCTCCACCATCAATGGGCCTGCTTTGAGGACTCCCAGCATCACATGGTCTCAGGCTTACTATGAAGCTCATCAGCTGGCATGGCCATGTGAACAAATTCCTACCACGAGTCCCTTCCCATGCCTCTGCCTCTGCCTCTGTGCCTGCATAGGTACATCAGTGTCCTATTAGGGCTGGAGACCTCTGACACGTAAAGTAAGGAGCATAGCATGTTGGAACTGACTCTACAGTACTTTATGACTGGGGGCGGGCGCCTGACAAAATTTGTGAAGGAAAATTCAATTGTGCTTGAAAGCTCCAAAAGGGGAAGTTGGACATAAATCTTTCTTGGAAGTGATTTTTGGCAGTCGTGTGGAAACTATTTACCTCTATCTGCAGTGATCATGATTTTTTATTCTAAGAATCAAACAGGGTGGATCCTTCTGGGAGCTTGTATAAAGATCCTGCCCTCTCATGAAAAAAAAGGGAGGAGATAAACATAAAAGAGGGATGAGGATGGGAAGAGACTAGCAGCAGCCTAGCGTCTCTAGAGTGGAGAAGCCACCTGGGAAGGAGACCACAAGGACCGGCCAAGGAGAGCAGACTGCAGCTTTGCTAACGGTCCCTGGGCACATAAGCAACCCAACCCAAGGGACTCAGGACAGAAAGATCAACACTGCTGAATCCATCAAAGGACAGCCTCACTCCTTAAAGACCGTAAGCTTGACAACCCCACTTTGGGGACACTGGGGGGCTGTGCTTGGTAAATTACTGCCATAGATTTTCCTGCCTTCATCTATCTCCTCTTCCCCAAATTCATATTGCATTGATTTCAACCACTCTTTTCCAACTGCAAAATTATAGCTCAGAATTGCCAGGATTTCTTGACTTAAAATAGTTTTATTTCTAGATTGAAACACAGATTAAGTAAATGACAATTATATATTCTGGTAATGTAGCAATTCTCACCTTGGCACTTGGGTTTTACTATGCACCATACCTACTGCTGCAGAGATGCACATGGCTTTCCTTGTTCCATCCAAATGTTCCTCATAATATATAGGCTTTCTGTTTACTTTATGCCTGTTTAATATAAATCTGTTTTAGCAAAATTTTATATGGACATGAAATTAAGGAAATAGGAAAAAATCAGAAACTATAGTTGATGGAATGATAAGAGCATCTAAAGTCAGATAGGGAACCCAGCATACTCATTCCCCAATAAATAAATGCAATGCCCCAGGCACCATTCCAAGAGAGATGCCTGTGTTCTTGTAGCCTGAGAGTAATAGACACAACAGACACAGACAGAAAGGAAATAAAGGAGAGATGACTTTGTATTAAGAAAAGATGCAAAAAATAAGACAGCTTTTGTTTATTTATGATAGTGGGGGAAATCTAAAATATCCAGCTGAAAGTTATATGTGGAAAATTCTATAATGATTATATAGAATATAATTCTATAATGATTAAGACTCAAAAACTGATTAAACAAGTAACATATACACATATCTATATGTATATCTATATTATGTACACATATATAATGTACTAGTTCTAACCAAGTGAGAAGTAGAAAGAAAGCTGGGCATTAAGATACCACAATTGCTTTATTTCCCAAAGTACACGCCTCTCTCTTCACTGAGCCACAGAATACGACTAACATTTCAACTTGAACAGAATTACTGTTTCTTCTTCCACAGCACGTTGAAAGCTATACAGCTAGGAGAATGAATTCTTCAAATAGCTGATCACTAGTGCAGATGACCACTATATGCTTCATTCCCTTTATGGACAAAAGAAAAAGGCTCAGTGAGAGACAGAAGGGTCGTGGGCTTGCTTCAGTTCCTAAATTAGACAACAGAGCCTTTTACTCACCTAAATTAGGGACCATTCCTCATCCATGGCAAAATAGAATAAGAATGTATGAGGTCTTAAGAGAATGCTCAGAGGTTAAAAGCACTGCCTGCTCTTGCAAAGGACCCCATTAAATTTCTAGCACCTACATGGTGGCTCATGTCCATCAGTAACTCCAGTTTCTGGGGACCCAACACCTTCTGATTTGGGCTGGTACCAGGCATGCAAGTGGTGTACAGACACATGTAGGAAAAACACCATACACATAATTATTTTTAAAGGATCATAATGTAGAGTAAGAAAAAAAGAACAAGAATTAATACCCACAAGTAGTCCTTAAAATTCAAGTATACTAGGAATCCCTCTATCAAGACAGGACTAAGTCAAGCAGAGCTTGGCCTTCAGGAAAATGAGCCTACTTATCTGTCATTGAGTCCCTACACTGCCCTCTGGCACTATATACTTGTTCTCAGAGAATGGAATACTCACCTAAATGAAGAAGAGATATGACACATCCTAAAAAAAAACTGTTAAGCAAAGGAAAATTAGGATCCAGAGTGAAGTTCTAAGCTGTGTTTTGTCAACTGTGAGAACAGAAGGTATCAGTGCAAATTTCAGTTGGCTGTATGTGGAAAAGATAATAATCTCTGCACAAAAGGAGAAAACAGCAGAAAGATACCAAAATAAGATGGTCACAATATTGACAAGCCAGAGGGAGGGGGTGGCGTCGGGAACACCAAATAGTCAGGTGATGCCCGATTCACCAAGAGCCTTGGAAACCAGATAGAGATGCTGGGATAATGTGTACCCTGTATTAAAACTATTGTTCTATTTTTCTTTTTATAGAAAATAGGTTCTTTTCTCACATAATATATCCTGATTACAGCTTCCCCTCCCTCTACTCCTCCCAGTTCCTCACCAACTCCCCTCCCACCAGATCCACTCCCTCTCTATCTCACTAGAATATAGCAAACTTCCAAGAGATAACAATAAAACATAACAAAGTAAAATATAATAAGATAAAACAGAACTATCACATCAAAGTTGGACAAGACAACAGAAGGAAAAGAGCCCAAGTGCAAGTATAAGAGTCAGAGACCCACTCTTTCACACACTCAGGAATCCCAGGAGCCATGCACCTGCCAGGATCACCGCAGGTGTGTAGAGCTGTGGATTACTGTATGGCAGAGTCCTATTGAGCTCCTTGCTCCATAACAAATATCCTGCAAGAAGATGCCCTTCTATCTCCTGTGATTCCCAGGAACGATGTTTGGTCCTGGGGCTTTCCTTTCTTGGTCTTGTTGCTGTTACTACTGGGTTTTTCATGGTGATTTGGGCACAAGAGAATAATGAGGGTATGTTATAAAGAAATGGAGAACAATTTCCCCAGGGAATGTCTGAGAAGATGAAACTAATGGGGAATACTATGGGAATAGACAAAAGTCCCTATGTTTCTTTTCACTCCTACTCAGCATAAATCTGTGACTACCCCAACTGCTGTAAAAGAAATTACCTTATCTGAACCCACTTAGGAATCCTTAATGTGTCCTGTTGATTGTATTCTGAGAGGCACTGATCCCAGGAAATATTTTATGGACAGTTGGTGTTAGGAAAAAATGTACTGGTACATTGGCTACAGGAAACTTGAGAACATTTGATTGCCCAGAGCAAGGCTTAAAGTCTACATTTGTGCCTAAAACAGCTAGTGTAGATCAAAGGAACATGGGGAAGGTGTGCTTAGTATTAAACCTAGAAAACTGAATGCTTATTTTTCTACATGGTGCAAACACTTACATCAGCCCTCTTGAAGAATGAAAGTTAACTCTTTTAGATTTGTTTTTTAAGACTCAATGTCTGGTACCTTGTAACCACAAAGGGCAGCCAGCCAAAATATTTTAGCTAATATAAAAAGACTTAGTCTCTTGCTATCCTCAGCATCTAACTATTTCCTGTCCAACCTGCTGAAAGGTGTGGTGTGTTTTTTAGACAAATGGTATTGGTTTTACCCTATGTCCCTGGGTGACCACAGTCTTTTCTCACAAGCATCACCCAAGAGACCTAAAACGGAGTGGACCTATTATTATTCAATCTTTGCATTATTCTTCCATTTCTGTGCAGGTGTTAAAATATAGTACATCTGACCTAACTGGGAAGAAATCAAGTAGATAATAGAACTAAAACAAAGTAAAGACAATACAGCACTAAGACTCAGGACAACATTCCAACAAAAATTTGTACACCTTGATAGTTATTAGTAAGCAGATTATTTCACAGCATGACTGTTTTAAAATCAAGCTTTAACAATATAGTAAAATCTGGGGTGTTTCTTTAATAAGGTTATTAATCATCTTGAAATTCATTACAAATCTTGTTTTGACAAAATGTTCTATTCAAAATGACCACACAATCATCCCTTGCACATGCAGGTGATTGGTTCTAGGATTCCCTACAAATGTCAGAATCTGCAGGTGCTCACTTCTTACATATATAGGATCATGTACACATATAGTCAATCCACAAACTCCCATACACTTTAAATCTTGTCTTCATTACTGGTAATATTCACCAACTTCTCTGAATAGATTTTAGACTATGTTGTTTAGGGAGTAATGACAAGAAAAAAATCTGTACGTTCAATAGAAATGTACATTTTAAGAAGATTTTTCCATCTGTTGCTGTTGAATATGTGGGTGCACAGTGTTCTGAAATGGAGGGAAAGAGTTATATAATATAAAATTAAAATAGAATGTGTATGCTAAGACAGTATAAGGTATAATAGAAACAGCTAAAGCTGTGGCCCCAAAATATATCTATGCTAAAATGAAGGGGGGCAGGGCACTGACAGAGTGATGAACCTTGGTTTTGTTGCTCAAAAGCACACTTGAAATAACTCTTCTTAATTCAAGAGACATGACGGTAAAGAAAATTGCAGTGATTGGTGCCGGAGTCAGCGGACTGGGTGCCATCAAGAGCTGTTTGGAGGAGGGACTAGAACCTACATGTTTTGAAAAGAGCAGTGACATTGGAGGACTGTGGAGATATGAGGTAATTTTATGAATTTTCAGAGTATGACATCATCTAGGTATATGAGAGTTGCTTCTATTCAACTAAGAAATAAAACTGATACCATAAATTATTTCTTAAGTGTACTTTCCAAATTAGTGATAAATAGTTAAAGAAAGTTAAAATTCCTTGTGGGACACGCACAGTCCTATTCAGTTTCACGTCCCTGACAACCAGCCCTACATATAACACTTAAGATATTGATGCGCAAGTTTGGCATGAGAGTGCTGAAACTCAGAAATGTAAAAGTTATTGTCGCTCTATCACACTCACTATTAGTTGTGGCATTTTCTTCCACATCATACAATCTCCCTACGCGTTATTTTGTGTTGTTTATTAGTTATTGGAAAAACATGTCTCCACCAAGAAACGGGTGCTTCCTTACAAACAGTGTCATGCATAATAACTTAAAGAAGTGGGTCTATCTCATAGTGTCTCCAGAAGTCAGAAGGGTGGAAGAGGAATCTTAACGTTGATGTGTCTTAGTGAAGCATAACACATGATCATTAAAAGCAGTTCTTATAAACTCACCACATTTATCTTATTGTCGCCATTATTATTTCTTTGTATTTTAATATACCCCATAGTTGCATGACTTTTTTTTGTCCCAAAGCAGATAAGCATTGTATTCTCTATTACCTTCTCTTAAACAAAATCCCTTCCATTGTGAGGTAGATTTGTCCATTAGGAATCTCCCTTCCAAACCTCCTTTGAGCTATTTTTCTAATCTTGTCTCGGTTTGTGGGCATTCTTGGAGCGTGCTCTCTTTTTGCTGTCGCAAAATAATTATTCCTACCACAGAGTCAATCACTATAAACAGAATTATAGCAAGAGAACCCTCATCAGGAAATGGGCCTAACACCCTCATCCTGATGAGTTACTATCACAAAACCTGAAAACCAAATCATGGCTTTTCAAAGACAAGTATACCATACACCACAGTTCTGGTTACCCCTAGCAGATCTGGTAGCCAAGGATTGGTTTGTTTCCTTTAGGAGACACCAGAAAGTGGAAGGCCTGGGATATACAAATCTTTGACCTGCAATACATCCAAGGAGATGACAGGCTTCAGCGACTTCCCCATCCCTGACCATTACCCCAACTACATGCACAACACCAAAATGATGGAGTATCTCAGGATGTATGCCAGGCACTTCGGGCTGATGAAACACATCCAGTTCCAGGTAAGAAGTGAAAGCCCACCCACCGCCTGCTCATTGGTTGAGGTAAAGTGTGCACTGTCAGAGCCAGCTGGGGCACAGTTTCAGTCTGCATTTCCCATCCATGTCTCTGCCATTCTCATGAATAGTGAAGACATATTTGTCTTATATACCCCACCAGATGGACACAGTCCCAGCTGGAACCTGAATTCCAATTTTTGGCTAATTTTGTAAAATAAAAATACAGGTCACAGGAAATAAGAAACAATGTATTTTGTGCTCTAAGAAACCATAACATTTGGGAAATGGTCATTTTAGAAACTTTATGTGCACACAACTCCTAGCCACCCAGGAGCCATACATAGAACTACTTTCCCAACTTAAACATAAAATTCTACAGAAAAAAAAAACTGGGCAAAAAATCCTAGAACTCAGGCTTTGTTCCTTGTTTCCTAGACAAAGGTGTGCAGTATAAGGAAGCGCCCTGATTTTTCATCCTCTGGCCAGTGGGATGTTGTGGTGGAAGCTGATGAGGTACAGAAAACTTATATCTTTGATGGGATCATGGTCTGCAGCGGACACTACAGCGAGAAGCATTTTCCTTTACAGGATTTCCCAGGTATTTCTCTGGTGTGTATGTGAGAAGACTCTTAGGATTCTAATCTCTTTTAAATTAATTAATGTATTTATTTATTTTTACATCCCAACCACAGTTTCCCCTTTCTTCCTTTTCTCCCAGTCTCTTCTCCTACCTCTTCTTTATCTTTGTCCTCCTCCCCAGCCTCTGCCCCCCCTGTCACCATCCACTCCTCCATTTCTATTCAGAAAAGGACAGGCCTCCCATGGATATCAACAAAGCGTGGCATATCAAGTTGCAGTAAGACTAAACACCTCCCCTCATCTTAAGACTGGACAAGGCAACCCAGTAGGAGGGAAAGGGCCCCAAATGCCAACAAAATAGTCAGAGACAGCCCCTGTTCCCACTGTTAGGAGTTCCACAAGAGGACCAAGCTACACAACTGTCACATACATGTGGAGGGCCCATGCAGGCTCCCTGGTTGTCAGTTCAGTCTCTGTGAGCCTCTACAAGTCCGGGTTAGTTGATTCTGTGTAATGTCTTGACCCCTCTGGCTCCTACAATCCTTTCTCTCCCTGTTGCACAGGACCTGAGGTCTGCCTAATGTTTGGCTGTGCGTCTGTTTTCATCAGTTGCTGGCTGAAGCCTTTCTGATGACAGCTGGGCCAGGCAGCAATCTATGAGTATAGCAGAACACTGTTAGGCATCATTACATTGACTTTTTTTGCCAGTCATATTTGGTACTACCCTAGATCTCTAGGCTGTCCAGCTTCTGGGCCCTGGCACTCCAGGCAGTGTCAGAGGTGGGCTCACTCTGGGTCTCAGGCTGGACCAGTCATTGGTTGGCTAGGCATTAACAGGACTGAAGGAGATGACTGGCAAAGGGGGCATTTCGGGGCAAGGTAGAAACCTAGTGCAAGTGAAACTCCCAAGATCTACAAGGATGACCCCAGATAAGACTCCTAGCAATAAGGGATATGTAGAGTGAACTGGACATCTGCTGTGGCCAGGCAAGACTTCCAGTGGAAGGATTAGAACACTAACCCAGCCACATAACCTTCTGCCTACAGGATATGATAAATATGGAGTTAAAATTACTATCATTCTCAGCACTCCTGGGCTTTTGGGAAGTTTAAAACTGCATATGTGATTAGCACTCAATTGCTTTTGGATAACGCTGATGTACATTGCTAAGGACCTTTACAAATTTTATAAACAAAGAGTTATGAAAAGTGAAGAAACAGTCTCATATGTCTGAACAGAAAATTAGAAAAATATAATAACATAAAGTGACAGAGTTAACACATTGAGTCAGTCTTAAATGGGTATCTTTTTGTTGGCTACTTTGAAAAATCTGCTCTGATTTTGTTTTCAGCCATATAGTCACTAATGCTTTGTTCCTTAGATGAGAATAGTCTGTATTCATGGCATATAAGGTCCAAGCATAAAGGAGAGAATTAAGTAATGTTAACTTAATGTTTAGGAATAAAATTTACCAACCAATGTTTTCCACTTCTGCTTGTGACTTGGGGGATGTGACTCTTCCTTCACAGGAATCACCAAGTTCCAAGGCAGCCATCTCCACAGCTGGGAGTATAAGCACCCAGGCAACTTTGAGGGGAAGAGAGTGGTCGTGATCGGCATCGGGAATTCTGGAGCAGATGTGGCAAGCGAGATCGGTCGTGTTGCTGAACAGGTTTGGTGTCCTACCCTGATTCTGCTCTTGGGGGTGGGTAACCTTGATACTTGCAGAGAACATGAGTCTAGACTTTCTCTGGCTTTAGCAGGGATGTTCTCATTTGGACTGCAAGGGCATGTTTTCCTGCTGAGTATATATGAATAAAAGAATAAAGACTTCCAAAGTGACAATACTCCAAGTCCATAAGTAGAGCTGTGGAAGTAATAATCTAACTAGAGTCAGATAACTTAGAATTAACTACAAGTAGCTAAATGGGAAATTTCAAAACGAAATGAATTTTACAGAAGACCCTGTTTTCATGTTGGGAATGAAATTTAAAGAGCAATCAATATACACAAATCTGAGTGTTTAAAATAGATTGCTGATCTGTGCTGAAGGTGGTAGGAAAGAGGACAAATTCCATGGTTTCCACTGACTAGGACCAAATAAGAAGTAGGCGAAGAGGAACAGTCCTTCCTCTGTAGTGAATATTGCTGAGCATGGAAGGTCATTCCTACAATTCAAAATTAGCTTTTTTATTTTGATTCATACTTTATAGGAAATACAAGATTTTCCAACTTGAATAATTTTTGTAAAATATGTTAATCATGTCATGATTCTGAGATACATGAGTCACAGAATTCCATGACAATGGCATCACTCTTGTGGTTGTTAACATTGATAAAAAGCTTTCTTTTCAAAGTCTTCTTAAATGACACAAAATAGAGCAAAACGCTTATCAAAATGTGTATTTCCTTTTTTTGCACTGCAAGCATTTTGTTTGTAATTTTCCAGTTGTAAAAGTGAGAAAATTCCAGTGTGAATTTCTATATCTGACTTGTTTTCATCCCAAATGTTTTATTCACACGTTTCTCTATCACTTTGAAAATTTCATCTGAAAGAGCTTACATGGAATTTGAATGTGAACTGCTAACACTCAACATAATAACCTATTGTGTTGTGAGGTTTTTCCCAAATTTGGGGACCTCAGATACTCCACACATCTAACATAGCTGGAGCAAACACCACAAGGAGAGTAGGCCCATGACAAAATGACTTTCAGTCACTGGATCTCTTTATAAAGAAGGGGCAGGGGAAGGAATCTGGCTAGTTGGACAAGGCAATATGAGAAGTTAATTCCATTCCCTTGACAATTAAAAAAATACTCCAAGGATCTAAGACCAGAGTGATTAGCAGCTAAATACTTACTAGGCAACCACTCCTCTCTTGAAGGTTTTCCTCAGCACAAGACGAGGGGCGTGGATTTGGAACCGTGTTTGGGATCATGGGAATCCTATGGATGCTACACTCTTCACTCGTTATAACAGAGCTGTCCAAAAGGTCTGCCCCACGTACCTGATCAACAGACAGATAGAGAACAAGTTAAACTTGAGGTTTAACCATGCCAGTTACGGACTGCTGCCTCAACACAGGTAAAGTGTGGAATTTCAAGCAGACAATATCTAAGCTATTAGACTAATCAACTAAATTTGTAAGTACATGAATGGGATAAGTGATACCATTAATTCCTCATGGCATTTGATTTTACAGGGAATATCCAAATTATTTCCTTCCTACTGAAGGTTCTTTGTTATCCAACTAAGGCAGATGAAAAAAATGTGCAGAGTAGGGAAGTAGAGGTTTTAAAACTTGTCTTATTCGAAATTCATACAAGGTCAACTTGCCACATTCTCCTGGTTTCTTGCCATCTTCTGTTGACTACTTCATATTCACTCTCTAAAAACTGATTCCCTGCTTGCCTTGAGACTCATCACCATCCAGGACAATTCATTATCCACATACAACAACCTCGTGGCCTTTGACCTCTTCGCCTGCACTGCCTTTCCGTCCTATCCCATCTGCATGACTCCCAGCCTCAGCTACCCAAGCCCTCATCACTGAAAACTGCAGTGTTTATAGACATCTTTCCCAAACTCCTTCTGAACCTGAGAATTCTTAGCTCTTTACTCTTGCTTCACTCAATACCAGCCAGTTTTCAGCCCTGACCTAGGCCTCTAATCCCATGTCTCCCTTCTCTGGTCCTTCCAAGTTTATGGCCACTTTTCTTCTATTTTCTTCTTCTTTTCTCCATAAGACAGCTAAGACTTGGTGTCACCGTGTGTCCACACTCAGTCCTGTTTTGTTTTCATCTTAAGTAGCTCCCTGCATTAAAATTTCAAATCCCATAGCTGGAGAGATGGCTCAGTGGGTACAGGTACCTGCTCCCACCCCTGACGACCTGAATTTGATCCGCAGACTCTACAGGATGCAAAGGGAGAACTGACTCCCACGAGTTACTCTCTGACCTACACACATACACATACACACACACACACACACATACACACACACACCACACACATACACACATACACACACACACACTCACACACACACCACACACATACACACATACACACACACACACACTCACACACACCACACACACACACACACACACACCACATGCATACACACAGGCACACACATACATGA